AGAGTGAAGAAGAAAGAAAATTTTACCGGCGGTTATTCATTTCTACATCGTTGACAAAATGAAACTGATAGCTCAAAAATTAATTCTTTCAATTTTTTGAATATCATTTTTGATAAATTTAATGGGTTTATATATGAATTTGAGTAAAAATCTTTGTTCAAAAATTTTGATAAACAAATATCGGCTAACTTTTTTTATACGTAAAAATCATTTATCTTCTTTCTTCTTCTTCATATTTGTTCCTTATTTTTATGAGATTTGAAATAAATCATACGAATCTTCATAGTTGATTTTCATTTATCTTCATATTTGAAAGAAACAATATTCTTTTATTTATAATAAAGAAAGAAAAACAATGTTGGAGCTAAAATGAAGAATATATTAATGTTTTGCAAACTAAAGTATGAAGAAGATGATAGGTAGGGAGTGAGATCCTTTTCTTTTTCGAAAAAAGTGTAAACGAAAGAAGAAAAATGTTTTTTAAGTTAATTATAATGTCAAGTGTCAATAAAAGAAGAAAAAAATAAAAAAAAACACTATTTTGAATTTTTTCACACACTTTAGGGAAGTGCAAAACACATTTTTTGCCATATCAACATTTTGTGTTTAATAGGTACACGCTTTGAACAATTTAGGTGTTCAATAGGTACAAGTCTTAGTTGAGGTGTCTAAGTGAATTATGCAGACAACTTTAAGGGGCGGTCGATGACTTAAGCCTATATTTTTCTTCCATATTTGATTTATTCTTCCCTTAGAAGAAATGTTTGGAATCCTATAAATTGCAGACTCCTGATCTTCTCATATCAAAAACACAATATCATCCACAATGTAGATGTTTAGGAGTTTAGTTTATGGAGAGATTTTCTTCCTAACATTTTTATGTTTTTCAATATTAGTTTTATCATATGTAGGTCGCTTGACCAAACTATATCAATAATATGTTTTTAGGATACTTTTATATGTCGTCTGATTTGTTAATCATATAATTGCAATTGTAAGCTTTCGCATGACGCCCTAATCACTTTCGAACCCAACAAGTGGTATCAGAGCACATGGTTCAATGGAACGAGATTGAAGACAGGTTCAAGTGATTTCAAATCAATTTGGAATCAACGTGATGATAATGGAGATTTTTGTGCTACTACATGTGGAGAAAATTTTCAAATATTTTTAAAACAAATCCTGTTGCTCCATCCTTTAAAACAAAATTAATTTTCAACTCATGCTTACTTTAGAGCATGAGCTCCAACTTTCAACCCTTGCAAACTTTAATGCTCGGGCTCCACTTTTAACTCATGTATATTTACTTTTAACGCATGAGCTCCACTTTCAACTCATGCATATTACTTTTAACGCATGAGCTCCACTTTCAACCCTGAGAATAACTTTTAACACAGGGCTCCAATTTTTAACTCATATCAATTTTTAAATCATGGTAAGCAGCAGTGATACATGAAGATTTTGTGAAGAATAAGATTATCAAGCATATGAAGAAGACGGATCAAGTATTGTCAAGAAAATCCAGCCAAAAGGGGAGATTTGTTAGGGTTTTGTCCTGATTTTCTTGCCTTATTTGAAATTTATTTTTTTCCTAAAGGAAAAGACAAAACATTACCATAAATGTTTTCACTTTTCATGAAAGGAAAATATATTTTTCTTCCATATTTGGTTTATTTTTTCCTTAGAAGAAATGTTTGGAATCTTATAAATTGAAGACCCCTTTTCTCATATCAAAAACACAATAGCATCCACAATGTAGACGTTTAAGAGTTTAATTTATGAGGAGATTTTCTTCCTAACATCTTTATGTTTTTCAATATTAGTTTTATCATATAGGTCGCTTGATCAAACCATATCAATAATATGTTTTTAGGATACTTTTATTTGTCGTCTGATTTGTTAATCATATTATTTGCAGTTGTAAGCTTCCGCATGACGCCCTAATCACTTTCGAACCCAACAATAGCGTCTTTAAAATGTTAATGCATGCATTCCTTTGCATCACTAATACATAAAATCCATGATATTAGTAATACACTTGCTCCAATATACAATAGAGTGTATAACTAATGCAAGTACTCAATTTGTTCCTAATTACTTGTCCATTTTTTCTTTTTTTTTTCTTATCCTTTTCTACTTGTCCATTTTGACAAATCAAGAAAGGACAAAAAAAATTTACTCATTATACCCTCAATTAATTACTTTGAAAAAGGTAGAATTTCTTGAAAATCTTAAATTTTTACATTATCCACTTCATAATTAATAAGGGCAAAATGACCCTCAATTAATTAGTTTGAAAAGATAGAACTTCTTGAATCTTAAATTTTTAATTCACCCACTTCATAATTAATAAGGGTAAAACGGTAAACTCACTATGTCAATCATTTTTTTTTTAACAATTCCGCTAGGCAATGTGTGCCTAGGGCGAGTTTTATTAATAAAGAGAAGGGATCTCAAAGAGAAAAGTACAAGCAAGGGGGCAAGGTCTTACCTTACTAATCTTAATGAGGTAACGAACCTCTATTAATTAACAAGCATGAAGAAAATAAGAGTTAGAGAAAACTATATATTCTATATTAATCATCATAGAGTTTATAATACACTCTGTGATGATACTACAAATGTGGATGCTTAAGTAATGCAAAAATACAAAATCTAAGAATAAAGCTGAGTTATCAACCTCAAATTTCATTTTATATATGTAAGAATTAAAAGAGATGGATTGCCCGTGTAAAGTAACCTGGAGAATTTCCCTCTTGTCTTCTTCGTCAAATATGTCCAACAAAACTTGATAGTTCATCACTTCTTTTTGGATTTACTGGATCGTGTTGTTGTTGAAACTGTCATATGATTTTGCTTTGCCAGTCGCATTGGTAGGTGCCTTGGAATAAATTCCTCAATCACCTTACCATCCCAACTATGTTGTATTTCATGTGTCAATCATTATTTTCTCAATAGGTGTATTAATTTAAAAGTAGACAAATAATTAGGGAAAACAAAATATTAGTTATACATAACATGAAAAAGTGCACCAAATAAAATACTACTAGAGCTTATGCATGCATTAATTCAGAGATAGTAATTTAATACTACTAAATTGTGCCTGTTTGATCAAGTTTTGGATAGTTCAAAAGTGCTTGCTTATTTCCAATAAGTGTTTTTTTTTTTATAAAAAAAAAACTGAGAGAAAATAAGTGTTTGCAGGGAGTATCCTAAACGATTAAGAATATTCAAAATATTTTACCCCAAAAAAAGAGAGCAGTTTGAAAGTAATGTAGTACAGATGCTGACTTGTTTAATTTCTTACTAGATATAGTGACTTCAGCTAGATTTGTAGTAAACGAAAGAGAGAGATTTAAGGATATTTAAGACTAGTTAATATCTCAAAAGGTCACTCATTAAACTTTATTTTGTATCAATAAAATCACTCAACTTAGGCATATGTATCAATAAAATCACTTCACTAAATTTATCATTAAAATAAATCTGAAAATGGCAGTTGATGACTTCAATGGCCTAAGCAGAGCTCTGAGGTCGTCTATTTGAGGTCTCCCATTTGTAGCTCTGTGATTGGAACCAAAGTTGGTTCCAGAACGTTTTTGTTAGAACTCAGTAAAGTTTATCATTAAATCAATCTTCTCATTTTCTAATTTTATGGTTCAGCTCTTATTTTTTTGATGTTGTGATAATCATTGCTGACTGAATTTCCTGGTGATTAATTTGGAGGAATCACTTTTTCATAATAATTTGGTACTAATTTAATATAGAAATCATCATCTGCAATATATAAATTTATCAGTACTCAAATTGATACAAAACAAAGTTGACTAACCTTTTGAGATATTAACATAATTTAAGAGTAATTAATTAGTTGGATAAGTATTTCAGTGATTGTGCGTATCAAGAAAATGGATCTTAATGTTAATAACGTGTTAATATTATCTCTTAAATGATGCATTTGGTTCAGCTGTCTCGATATATATCATATCATGATTCATGCATATAAGCTTTTAAATTATCCAGTTCACAAATTTTTTTTCTTACTTTACAAGTGTGGGATCGGTGGTGCTTTATTAAAATTCAAATTATACTATTGAAAGTCAAATAACCCTCAAATTATTAGACAGACAGATCTGTTACTTGGACACGGACATTGTTACAGTCAACGAATAAAGAAGTATAGAAGCTATAAGATGATCAATTAATGAACTAGTTAGAGTCTGTTTGGATTGACTTTTGGCTTATGACTTATAAGTCAAAAACAAGTCATAAGTTAGAAATTCTAACTTGTGATTTTTGACTTAGTTTTGTCATTATTGCTTAAAAACAAGTGCTTATAAGTTATAAAAACATCTAAAATAAGTGAATGCAAACATACACTTAGTTGATTTGGTTACATCTCTCTCTTACTTCTTGATGTAGGCCTGAGGAAGAGGAGTCCATTTTGAAAATAGTCAATTTGGGAACTAGTTGATATCTTACAAGGATGCAGAAGTAGTGAAACTAAATGGGTTCTCAAAGTTAAAACACAAGGCTGATGGCACAGTTGAGAGATATAAGGCTCGATTAGTTGCAAGGGTATACACAACACGAAGAGATTAAAATGAGGGTGTTAAAAACTACATGCTAATACATTTTACCGTTTTCAAATATTGAAGCACGATCCAAAAAATCCTGAAAATTTGATGTGTGATTGTTAAAAAAAAGTTACTCTTTTGCAAGTAAAATTATTCAACTGTGTAGAGATTTGGCAACTCATAAATCTAAAATTAAATATGATTTATATAGAAATTAATAAAACATGTGATGCAATAAGCAAATATAGTAGTAGTACTTACTAACTTTGAAAACAATGTAGCTTCTCAAATACAAGCAGCCCTGAGACACCAACTTAACACTTCTATGGTATATTATTGCTATGATCATTCTCCTTCCTGACACCAATATTCATAGATAAAGAAGCTTGGCTTATTTAGACATTACATTTTCTCTGCAATCTAACAAGAAAATAAAACATAAAAAGCAGTTAAATACGAGCTCGAATTGTTCGATCCACACCAACAATTGGTGTAGTGTTCACAAACTCCCCAAATATTATGTCTTCCTCCAATGCTTTTATTATCTCTGAAGAAAGGCAAATTTCAACAATTATGCTCCCTTCTTCTAGTCCTGGTGACACTGTTATTTTCCCATCTAACATGTTTCCCACACCACTTCTATGTGCAATTGGCTTTTCCCAACCAAAATCATACTTATAAAAATCGAATCGCGGAGAGTTGTGCAGCATAAAGTAATTGCTTGGCAAATCACCCAATTTTTGTACCTCAGGGTCCTTCATCCAATTCTCGTATATGCACTTCAATTTTTCATGGTCATGGGAAGCAATGGACTCATTAATTTGCAAAGCAGCCCATCCGAATCCGTGCTCCAGCAGTTCTCCCGTTTTGATCGTTATGGTAACAGGGTAAATTGCATTCCCAAAGTACCCTTCTGGTAATGGAGGATTCAGTTTTTCCCTCATGTTAATGGATACCTCAAAAGTAGTTTCTTGGTTGTGATCGAGACGACGACAACGTATCACGGATCGCCAAACGTGAGCCAACACAGCTTGAAGAGAAGAAATCTTTGTGGTGTTCATTTCATGATTGGCCGTTGCTTTTAACTTGGAGACATTTTCTTTGGTAAAGTGAAATACCTTTTCTCGCAGCATTTGTACTGCTGGTGGTATGAGTTTGTCACTTGAATTCACCATTTCATTTGGTATAGAAATCCGATTAGAGAAACGGTCAATTTTGAAAGGGAATTCACGTTTCAAAAAGGGGATTTTTGAGATGACATTAAAACCGCGAGATAACTCAGCCCAAGAATTGTAAAAATTCCAAAAAGAAGTTCCATCTACTACCACGTGATTACATGTGCTACCAATGAAAATGCCATCCACAAGCTCTGTTACTTGCACAGCCAAACAAGGTAATTGGGAGATAGCCTCTTGGTTTTGGACTCCATTTAGTGAGAAGAAATCGCGTACCACATGAGGAACGCAATTTGATTCCATGATGTCGCGAATTGTAACACCATCAGCTATCGCATGGTTGAACTGAACGCCAGCATTGTTACAGTTAATGACGAAAGAAGTGGTTCCACTTTGTTCTGTGATTGCCTCAAGGCGGCCACAGAATGGAGGGTAGAAATCTAAAGCTCGGGATAGTGAAACTCTAAGATGATCAATTAAGGAAGTAGTATTAGTTGATTTTGATACATCTCTTACTTGTTCCAATGTAGGCATGGGATAGAGGAGTCCACTTTGCGCATAGTCAATTTGAAGAGCAAGAATGTCCCATGGTGTCAACTCAATAATCTTACAATTATCTGTATGGTGCTGACTCCCTCCAGCAGCTTTAACTGTCCATGTTGAAATGATGGATACCTTGGAGGCCATAGCTTCGAGTTCTACAAATTAGTGAGGAAATGACTTTCCTTCTAAAATAAGGAAAAACAATTTTCAAAACTCGACTTTATATGTAAATTCATATTTTTTAAATAAGTTAGTAATCCACTTGTTTTTCAAGATCATACCAAACACACCCATAGTGTTGACTTATTTAATTTCTTACTATAGCTCTAGACTTAAAATTGTTACTAAAATTTATAACTTTAAGCAAGATTTTCTTACTAAAAAATTAAGACTAGTTTCCCAAAATCTATTCCTTACCTGTGGTAAGAAAACTTGTTAGATTGTGCTAATCTAGACCATTTAAACTTGAAGATGGCAAGTGACTTAAAACCATTAATAAACAAGGTATCGGAATATCCTAAGGCGCCTCATTAATAAATTATATATATTCATACTTTTTTTATAAGTAAATGTTTGTGATTACATGTTATTATATAAACTTTCAAATACATTTAATTTTATGAAGATTACTAATAAACTAGTTATTTTTTAGTATAATCCTTCCATACGGTATGAACAATCTTTTCATGTCGAGCAGAATTTTTTGTTTGCAATATTTAAAATGATGGGTGCACGATTGCATAAACTTATGAGTCGAGCATTATATTTAACAAAAAAAAAAATTGAAATCACAATTTGGAATTTGGAATTCTACTTTATGGAGAAATTAGTATTTGAAATTTTGTGCAAATTTCATAAACAATTGTTGATTTCAAATCAAAACTTGACCCAATTCAACGGTCAAACACTTTCTTAGGCTCCATTTGGACATGATTTGAAATCAAATTGTTTTGAAGTTAAAGTTTTGTTTAGACATGCAATTGGATTTCTTAAGTTGTATTTTTTTTCTCTTAAATATGAAATTCCCACAATTGTGAAAGCTATCAAAATCTCCTCAATTCTTACACAATCTTACCAATTGGCCAATCATAACTCGTAAACAAGATCTCAGAATATCCTAAGGCACCACATTCACTACAACAAAAAGATATGTTATTTATGTAGAGAATAGCAAAAGAAAAGTATAATCGGGAATATCTTCTGGTAGCCCAAGATCGTTAACTAAGATCGGAAGATTCAACTAAAGAAGAGGAAGCTAAAAATGAGAACTTGTTTATGGAAGAAGACTCTTTTATTTGAGTTGTTCTTGGGTTGTATACAAATGTCTAATGTCACCCCTATTTATACTTGTATAGGGATGCTTCTAGAAATTATACTAGATACATCTACAAGAAATATCTAGATATCCTTATTTTTAACTATGTAACCACAATTTAGTGGCAATAATAAATATATGTATTGATAACCAACACTCGATATAAATGCCGCTAAAGACTTTACACTCTAGATGCAATGATATTAATTAACTCAATTATCGCTAAATATTTTTACGACAATAAATATTATCGTTAAAAGGAAAAACTATGGACAATTATAAGTCTCTCTTTTGTTGTAGCAGATACTCTCTTTGTGCTTTGTCCCCGTTTATATCAATTAATAAATTTATATTTTTAGAATCAAACAAAAAAAATTAAGGTGACTTTACCTGAGAATTGGGATATATTAACCTTCCATGATGAGTTACTTGTTGGTGACTCCTCCTTCTTGAGTTTTTGGATGTTTAGCTATGTAAGTTTTGATGTTAGAAATGGGTATGGCTAACAATTAAATATAGATATGGTTGAAGTTTTTTCGTGGATATGGATGGAATAGACACCAAGGTTGATTAAAGGGAAATTGTCAAACGAGTGTAATTGTATATTCAAAAAAGAACAATGTTATTAATATTATTTAGTTTGAAAGATAAATTAGTACATTATATCTTTTAATCATTTTGAAAGAGAAGGTAACGACACACATATATCAAATCGATCATTTTATAAAATAGACCTTTTTGTTATATAATCATGAATTTAACCATTTAACACAATAAAATTTAAATAATAACAAAACAAAAATATTTTATTCAAATTAACAATAGAAATAAGTAACAACCATCTATACAAGCTTGTAGTCTTCCGTATGGCTTAACTTGTTGATTATTAGGTCAGACTTTTGGGTAATTTTTCTTACTTTTAAATGTATAAAAAATACTTATTAGTAAGTCAAATTTTGATGTTTGAATTCATGCAAGTACTTTGATAATTAGTTCTTTGTACTGCAAAATTCAAAATAACTAGTATACTATAACTATATTTTTTATCCTACGACCTAAATCTTATAACACGTGCTATGTGACTCTTTTATTTATGGGTCCTCAGGTTTGGTAGTAGTTACGATTAGTCTTAGACTCTTGAGTTTTTTAATGGCCCGTTTGATCATAAGAATTTTTTAATTTTATTTTTTGGAATAGTTTTTTATTTTATTAAAATTTATATTTAATTATGATCATTTTAAATTCGATTTGAATATTATATTTTAAATTTGAAGAATAACCAATACTAATTTGATTTTAATTGACTTTTCACTTTTGAAGTTTTATATATGTATATTCAAATACAACTCTATCTTTTAAATTGGGCCGGCTAAAATGGATCAAGACAATAAACGGGTCAAGATCCGATCCAATCCAATCCAAATTTATTTGGATCAAAATGGATTGGGTCAAAACGGGTTAGTAACGGGTCATAACTTAACCCGTCCAATATTTACTAAGTTTTAACATCTTTATTTATTATTTTATAAGCTTTAAGTACCTAATAAAAAAATTGTTTTCTTTATTATAACTATATAAGGCATAAAATCAAAAAAATAAAAATATATTTACAAGATTTCTCAAAATCAATTTGAGTTACATATCAACCCAATTTTTAATGGGTTGGATTGAAATGGATTGAGCTAACAAATGAGAGGGTTAATAATCAACTCAAACCTAAATGGATTGAATCGGGTTGAGTTTGATTTTGCCACCCTACATGTATCTAATATTGTATCCTTGAAGGCTACATGTATCTAAGAACCTGTTTGGCCATAGATTTTTCAAGTAAAATTTGGCAAATAGTGTTTATCCATACAGTTTGTCACTATTTGGCAAATATTTTTGGCAAATAACCCAAATTCTCAAATATTAGAAAAAAATAGTATTTGGGTCAAATCTCATTATTTGGGAACTTTTAATAATTCAAATTCTACACCAAACTTTTATCTTTTAAAACAACACCCTCTATAGTAGTTGTTTTACATATTTTTTACGTAAACATCAAAGTAGTGATGGAATATTCAGTGCATATGAAAGATATGGTATGGTTGTTAATGAAAATGATGAACAACGGCTTAGAGTAACAAAGTCATATGCTATGTAATACAAACATATGGTTAGTTTTGATATTAAAACTTATGGGCATAAATCATATTTCTTAAAAAGGTGTAATATATTTCCAAATCTCTCTCTCTATATATATATATATATAAAGGAGGATCTTCAATCAGCTGATGTGGCATGCCTCTATGATCAGGAAATCTACTGATCTATTTTTAGTTTTTTTCTTCTCTATTTTTCCATGTAAATAGATTTTAATTAAGGTTGTAATAATTAATAGATTCTAATTAATTGTAAAGAGGAAGATACTTTTCCAAATTTTTATTGTTAAAGTCTCATTTTCATGTAAATGCAAATTTTAATTGTAAGTTGTAACCGTGTACCAACCTTTCCTCTCCCCACGTCCCTTCATTAACTTCTGAAAATTAATTTATATAACTCCTCACTTTTTCATCTTCTCCTATAAATCTTGAGCTATATATATCATGGAAAAAAAAAATTGTTTATCAATGTTTGATGTGAATCATTGGCATTTATCATTTACCTTTTTTTAATTAATATTATTTTTTGAAATTTAAATATTAATATATTGTAGGATCTTAAGAATGATTTTTGTATTATAATTTTATTTGTAATTAAAAAGTATCTTTTTATTCATTTTATTGTTATATAGAAATGAATGAATGTGTCAATTGTTACTTTTTCATTTATTTATTTTCTTTAAAATAAAAGTTTAATTGTTTTTATTTTCATTACTCCACACAATTTTTGACAATTATAACTCCTAAATTAACAGTCAATGACTGCACTTTGAACATCCTTTTTTACTGCACTTTATAGAAGTCCATTACCAAAAGTGCACGGGACTTTGTGGATTGTGGAAGAAAATATTTAATGATAAAGAAAAATGAATTCTCAAAAATAAAAAGAAAGGATTTGGGTTGTTTTTATTGGGACTTGTGTGATTTATATAATCCCTCCCAATCTATCAAGGTCGGCTTTTTATGTAGGTTTTTCTTTGTTAGTCTTATTTGTATGGTTTTTTAGTTTTTTCATTACCTGCTAATACTAAATGACTTTTATCTTATGACTTTTTTTTTTATTGATTATCGTAATTATAAAATTAGAATGATTCTTTATGATTTACAAAGGAGGATCAAGAAAATTTCAATACTTTTCATATAGATTGAAAACAATAGCGTGGGTAATATTTTTTTTGGGTTTTTGTGTGGTGAAAGCAAGTGTTGTGTGATATGAAGAGATATAGGTGAATTCAAAATTTAAATTTTATGTATTTAATATTTAAAGTTTATAGTACTAACTTTTGATATTTTTTCAGGTTGTGTTTTTGAAGATTCAATTTATTTTTTTATGCGTGTGGGGGTGAAAGCAAATGGTATATATATCATGATATTAAGCCGGAGCCATGATTTAAATTTTATATATTTAACGTTTAATGATTTAGCACTAATTTGTTATATTTTTAAGTCATGAGTTCACTTTCATAATTTATTATAATTTTAATTAATTCTTACATACAAATTTATGTATACCACGAATATACTAAACTAGAAGAATATGCAATGATGAATTAGTTCCTGGATGGTGCTAAAAAAAATGAGTATGTGGTGATCATAAGTTGTCTTCTACTGTTAAGAGTCTTATTAAATCATTGTTATATATCCACAAAATTCAACATAACATATTATTGTTGTATCTTCAGAAAATTCAACATATATTATCTTATAGCTAACTTCAAATTCTTCATTATTTTTCTTTTTGTTCTTGCAGATCTCCGAATAATATGCAGATTATTTGAACCTCAAGAAGTGTTTTTAAATTTTAATAGAGGAAGGAAAGAGGCGAGCGAGAGAGGGCAGAGAGTAGGAGAGAGGATAATTGTATATGTATATCAGTTAGATAATTGTATATTATACATATACATTTGTATATATGACAAGTGAGATTGGGAAAGGGAGGAGAGAGGCGAGCGAATGAGGACAGAGAGTGGAGAGAGGTGAATTATATATGTATATCGGTTAGATAATTGTATATTATACATATGTATTTGTATATTCTTGGGAATTATACATATACAAACGTGACTAATTATACAAACTCGAAGTCAGCCCACGTAATTAATGTATAATGTTAGTCACGAGTGGTAATTATAACAAACTATAGCTATGATGAATAATTAAGTAGTATAAGTTTGCTTAACCGCGTAATTTTTCCAAATAGAAAATACATAAGCATCACTAACTAAATCTATATATATATATATATATATATATATATATATATAAAGCTGGATCTTCATCCCGATGATGTGGCATGCCTCAATGATCAGAAAAGGCATTTATCTATTTTGATATATAGATTATTTCATTTCAAATTGTGTTCTCACCTACTTTGCTCAATTTGATCAAGTCATTAACCAAATTAGAATATTAATCTCTTTAATTTAAAATTTATGATTTATTTTTTATTATTATGGTAAGTGCAAGACTATATTATTTTAAGTATCTATATAAATATATTTTGTTACTATAATTTTTAACATAATGAGGAGACTTGTTATATATATATATATATATATGTGCGCGCGCGTGCGTGCGTGTGTGTTCTTTTACTTGTACAACATATAGGGAGAAAAAAGAACAAAACAATAGTAGAGGCATTAGTGAAGGATAAACAACAGGGAAATAATATATGCCAAAAAAATGTAATTGAATGGTTGTTTTAGTTTCTTTTTAATTATCATTTCATTTTTTAATTAATTTGTTGCCATCAATTAGTTTTGATTTATTTTTGAATATTTCTTTTTTTCATTTCTGCTCGTACATCTTATTGTAAGAATAAAGTCTCAAATATTATTGTTAATCTTTCATAAGAGGCTAACAAATTTGTGTACTTTAGTTTACTTACAAATAAAAATAATATGCATATTTTCGGTTAAACTGTAAATTTTTAGCGTTTATATTTATATAGTAAATATTATCACTTTTTTTTTATAAAAAAAAAGAGTTAAATATAAGAATTTATTTGAATTATGTAAGAACTTGAAATAGGCAAAACCTCTAAGCATTTGTAACGAATAAATATTTATACAACTTTCTCAAAATTATAAAATGTACTATCGTAGAAATTTAATGAAACTATTGAATACCATTATTACTATATCATGATTATGTGCAAAATACTTTTCTTTTTAAGATATAATTTTTTTTTAACTAAGCAAAAGAATGTCACTACACCAGAACACAAATAATGATGTTGAAAATTTAAGGGAATCTTTTTTTTTTTTTTGGATGAACTTTATTTTCTAATAACTAAGTTTTAGGTAATGAAAGGTTAAACAAATTAAAATTAAATTAAAATCTAATTTATTTGGATTTGAAGACTATATAATTATTTTAAAATATTTTTAATTTTTTGAAATAGTAAAAGATTAGTTTGTAAATCTAAAGAGATCTTTCTTAATCGTGTGAAGCGCGGCCAAGTCTCCTAGTATATATATAAAGGAGAAACATAGAAAAGGTGATATGACACCTCTCTATGGCCTCCATTCCTATTTATCCTTTTTTTGGCTTTTTTTTTCATTTCATTTCATTAAATAATTTGTTTATTAATTAAAAAATTCAATCATATTTACTATTCTAATTATATCTAATAAGTTACAAAAAAATCTTCATCTATTTACATTCCCTACTTAAATAATATCTCTCGTCAACTCATTTCTAACTATTCTTATGATTTACACCATCTATAAATAACAATTATGTATGGAAGTGTTGAATGTTCATATTCATTTTCATTTTCATTTTCTCATTCTTTCTTTATATCAGTATAGTTTTTTCCTCTTTTTAATTTTCTTTTTCATCTTTTTCATCAATCATGTACTTAATAATGTCACCACATCATCTTCATTTTGATAAAGATCATAGATATCTTCTTCAAAAATTCATCACAGAGATTATAGATATATTCTTCAAGATTCATCACATGGATGTTCACATTAGTTTGGTACAAGTTAATCAAAATGAAGAAGGATGCTTAATTATCTTGAAAGATTTCATCAAGAGAGATGATCATATTAGTACATAAGTTTGAATGGTTTCCAAATATTTTGAAGATTCGTTCATGTATTGTTTTGATTTCAATTAATATTATTTTATTTTGATTAGATATATAATTTCCTTCTGTTCGGCAAAAAATAAATTATGAAACTCTACTAACCAACATATTAAAAATCTCAATTAACATTTTTACTCACTTAACTTTGCTTTTCTTCTTCTTATTATTATTATGTGTATGAATGAAGATGAAAAGTTAAACGATTTTATTTTTGTGTATATCTATTTGTCAATTTTTAATTAATATTTTAAATTGTTATCGTGGTTGAAAGATATAATATTACCCATGTTACATTTTTCATAGCTATTGAATATTGTTGCCCCTGAAAAGATATCATATGGTTTATCATATTAAAAAAAAGTTACAAAATAAATAAATAAACAAATTATCTTTTTAGTATTTTGAAAACTTTAATTTAATCAATAAACAAATTATTTACTGAAAAGAATGAAGAGAAAATTCTTAGTTTCATATTATAAAAGCTCAAAAGTCAACTTATTTTTTCCTCTTAATCACATTAATTATATTAAAACTAAAAATATACATTTCTTTAACTTCTCTTAATTATTGTAAAAAAAAACTTTAAATTTCTTCATTTAATTCTCCCAATAACATATCTATGTAATATGATCGGAGACATATATAAAATAATTTTTTTTATGATAGTATAAATAAGATGTACATATATTATAATAATAAAATATTTTATAGTTATAATAAAAAAATATATTTTATAGTTCTACTATGATAAATGTGCAGATGTGATTAATGTGTATTTAACTCATAACTATTTAAAGCAAAAATAATTTATCTTAAAAAATTTACATTAAAGAAGGAGTTATTTTTGAATAGTTATTATTATATATTAATTTTTTTTCAGTGATGACTACAATAATAATTAGCTTAACATTATAAAACTCTTCCACCGCTCTACATGTGTTAAGGACAAATATTGATTCAACTCTTGGTATACCTTTCTATAACTTGATACGTTATGTATTCTTGAAAATTTAAACTTTGTCACTCTATGATAATCTTTATATAATCAAAAACATAAGTAACACATCAAATTACTAATGACATCATGACTTCTTATAAATATACATTTTATTTCTGATGTTATGTTTTTCAATTCTTTTATTTTCTATTGCAAAGTATGATCTCCGATATAATGTTAAATAATCAATTTAATTTATTTTTCTTGAGATGTCTTTTCTCAAAAGATATTATATAAAAATGAAAGTTGAAATATGTGATCCGTTAAGATTAACAAATCATATGCAATGTGCGTACCCATTAGATTAATCTCAATACGAAAAATTAAATATAAAAAAAAAAACCAAACCAAAAAAAGAAGATCTTACTAACTTCTTAATTTCATGTATAACTATGTTGAAACATAGTTCAAGTATTATTCTTACTTTAATACATCACAAATATATTCTAAATTATTTTTATTACAAATCAAGTGGTTTATACATAAATAAAGTCATGTAATTTATAATGAATTAAATTTAATGTTACTTTGATTGAACTAACATTGTTATTATAAAATTCATTGAATTTAATAAGAAACTATGATAATCAATTTACTGAAATTTTTCAGATTTACATTTTATGTTTTTTTCTTTTTATCGGCAATGATAAGCGAAAATTACAGTTTGAAAATATCTCTCTAGCAATTTTTTGCACAAATAACATTACGACCGGACTCGATTTGTATTTTTTTCTTATACACTATTTTTAAAAAATACTCAATTAAAGATATCAATTATTTAAAAAATATATTTAATTTCACTCAAAGCGCGAATGTGTAGACTGATACAATAATATTTGCCAAAAGTATTTGGAAATCTATGGTCAAACACTATCCTTGAAGATATATTGTTGCTCTAGTATGGAGTCTCATTTGAAACAGCAAAAGAAATGATTCTAGCTACAAAATATAAATAAATAAATAAATAAAGAATCCTTAAAATATCATTTGATAACATAAAAGAACAGAATTTTATAATAGTCGAACAACAATATTAGTACAAAAGAATGAAACAAATATAGTACATTTACAAATTCTTCATCAGTAGCAGTTTTTTAACGCAATCAGAATTTCCTATGACGGAGATTATCAACAGAAATCGTCCCTTGTAAATTGTCTGTAGCAGCCATGTTAGAACCAAATTGCAATCTGGAAGCATTCTGGTTGGAAACAGGGGAAAGCAGAGAAGATGCTCTGTTATTGAAGCTTCTAGGCTGAGGCAGATCCAAGAAATCAACAGTGGTGACCGGAGGCTGAAACTCCGATCGAGTTCTCCGGTGAGATGAGCCCTCGATGGAATCAGCTCCGACGAGCAAGTGGTAGCTCCGGTTAGAGGTGTCGGAAAGGGACCGGAAACTATTGTGGTGAGGCCTCTGTTTCTTCATAGCATGAAGGAGAAATGGGATTAAACCTTCCATGAGTTTTCTTTTTCTTCTTAGTGGGTTATGTATGGATGATGTTTTTGAGTTTTGGGTGTTTAAGTTTTGATATTACAAAATGGAGATGGCTGACCATTATTTATAGTGGAAAATGTTTTCAAGGAGAAGTTTCATGGATATGGATGAGAATAGTCAACAACGTTGATTAATGCTAAATTGTCAAACCATATCCAAAATGAATGATTAATTTTTTTTTCAAAGATAAATTACTGCACTAAGTATCTTTTAATCATTTTGAAATTTATTCTAGTTATATTTGAGCAAGGCTGAGTTATGTAAAGTTGATAGGGGTTTATCTAAAATTCGTTTGATCAAAAATTATATATTATTTACATATAATTTAAATCATTTCTTAGGCATAGATGTTAAATCTTGTTCAGGTTGTATGTTTATTATTTTATATTTTGAAATTTCTTAGTAAAAATCTTTTTCTTTTTTTTTAGTTAATGCCTTTTGGGCGTACAATTATCTAATATTTTGTTACTGAAATTTGATTTTAGTTTACCACTCATTTTATTAATAATCAGGTGAGACTTTTGGGTATTTTTTGTCTTTCTTTTACTAATAATGTGTTTTCAAAATGTGTAAAAATTATTTTAATTAGTTTAAATTCTGATGTTTGAATTGACGCAAGTAGTTTGATGATTAGTTGTTTGCACTACAAGATTATGCCATTCTTTTCAATACAGAGGTTTATTAAATTAATCGTTAACAGAAAAGTAAGCAGACAATATTATTATTAGTTAATTAAATAGGAATAAGTTTTGACCGTTGAAAAAAAATAAATACACATTGTATAAGATTGGAGAATAAAGAAAAACCATTAAGAATCTGTGGGCAATTGAAATAGTAGATAGTTATCAATAATAACGCGTTAGAGACAGTTGGAATCCACTAATTTTCAAGTTTTGACCTTGCTTTTTCAATCAATGTGCTCAATTAACTATTTCAAATCAAATTCAAATACTACAATACAAGTTGAACACAGAACACACCTTCACTGGTTGATTATGTTTACCACTTTTGGTAACATGTGTCTTTTTCCTTATCCATTAAACAACACCTCGTTTAGTTCCAAAATTCTGGGTGTGATGGGTGGATTAGATTAGATTGAAAATGAATTGAGCTAATACATGACACGTTATTAACCTGCTCAAATATTGCTTAGGTTGAAATGCACTGGATCAAAAGAGACTAAAAAGTTGGGAGGATCATGTTTTTATGGACTTCACTCTTAATTTTGATCAAGTTAATATTCATTTACTAGGCATGTATTAAATGTTTAACCGATGTTTATGTAATGAACACGTGTCAAATTTAACAGGTTAGGTGAGAATAGTTAAGGGCAAAATCATAATTGGTTGAATGCAAATTGACAATTAAAAAAGTAAATCTTACATCACATGGTATGTAAGTTTGTTATATTTCACCTACCAACCCAATGCAAATCATATGGAGGCAAGTCCATTGTATTTTCTCAAAAAACCATTATGATACGACGGTTAGTGTTTGATCATAAAAATTTTAAATTTTAATTTGTAGTTGTATCTTAAATTTGAAAAATAACTCACTTTTTTTTAAAAAAAAATTATTATATCCAATCATGAGCACTATTTAAAATATTTTTTATAATAAATATAATTAAACATAACTCTATCTTCCATCCTAGCTTCATGATTTTTCAAAAAATAAAGCAAAAAATATTTGAAATCTATGGACAAACATCTGCTAAGAATATAAGCTTCATAGTAGGTGTACATAAATATTCTAGCATGTTTCAAAATACAAGTTTAAATAAATTGATGAACGTAAAGAAATCCAATAAGGGATGAGACTCATCCTTGAACTTCCTATAAGATTTGAATAATTCTTTTGAACTAGTTTTTAGGTGTTCATTAGATCTAAAACCTAATTTGAAATGATATCAAAGTCATATTCATTCAATTTATATAAATCAGGTGAATTATACAAATCAAAAAAATTATACAAATAACAAGAATTGAGAAAACTGTAGTCGCGAATTACAATTTCCTTAAAGTGTAACTATGATACTTAATATAGACTAAATATTTGCTATTCTACATATAAATAAATTATAACCTTTAGAATTAAGTAGGTAGAGTTGTTTGACAATTTAGCGCTGAGTGTTGGCAATTGGCATCCATAACTCTGTAATTTCTCCACTATAAATAATGTTGAGCCATCTCCATTTCTAACATCAAAACTTAAACAGCCAAAACTCAAAAACATCATCCATCACCCACTTATGGAAGGTTTTATCCCATTTCTCCTTCACGCTATGAAGAAACATAAGCCACATCAAAACACTTTTCGCTGCCTCTCCGACACCTCTAACCGGAGCTACCACATGCTCCTCCGAGCTGAATCCATCGAAGGCTCATCTCACCGTAGAACTCGATCGGAATTTCAGCCTCCAGTCACCGTTGATTTCCTGGATCTGGCTCAGAATAGAAGTTTCAATAACAGAGCATCTTCTCTGTTTTCCAACCAGAATGCCGCCAAATTACAAGGGACTACTGCTGTTGATAATCTCCGCCATTGGAAATTATGATGCAACCAACATATTGCTTTGAAAAAAACTACTGATGATATTTACTTGTGTCTTCAACTTTTAGGTGATTATATTCTCAAGTGTAAATGTGCAATATTTTTTCTATTGTTGTTCAACAATTGTTGTTATAAAATAAAGCAAATAAATTGATTTCTTATTTATGGGCTTGTCAGGCGGATTGCTTGAACTAGCTGTAAAAGTTACAGTAGTCTGCTTGATTACAAGCTTATATGCAAGACTTTTTCAGAAAACTATTTACAATGTCTGTTTGATTTCAAATTTATTTAGAAAATTGTGTAGCAAAACACCCAAGATAAAGTGTATTTTATAACAATGATGTGATTTTAGTGGTCTTTAAGCTCTATCCTTGTTGACAAGTGTTTCTTTCGTTATCTTTTGTAGCTCGTGCATACGCTTAGCCAAATTTAGGGTGTTCATTGGTCGGTTTGGATCGGTTATTGGTTAAAACTATAACCAAATCAACTTAATCGGTTTTAAAATTATCAAAATCAAACCAAATATAATATACATTTATCGGTTTGGTGGTTATCGGTTTCGGTTATTCGGTTATTAACCATACACAAAAAGAAAAGAAACAATTCATTCAAAATGTGAAAAAAGTGACAACAATCCATTCAAAATAAAAAATAGTTAGAATGACTTAACTTACCAAACTTTCAATCACTGAATTTACTATCAATAAAGCTTTAAAATTCACTATATTGGCCTAGAAGGAAGAGATAATAACATATTCAGTCCCACAAAGAATTGTCATAGACACTCATATACATGAAATTAATAAGATAAATGTTTTCACCTTGGGCATTCTTGCTTTCAATAAGTAAAGTATAAGGAAATTTTAATGAAAACATATATAAGATCTTTAAAATTATTTATAAAAACAATATATTAAGTATGTATATTAATAAAAGATATGTATATAATTCATCGGTTCGGTTCAGTTATTTCTTCGGATTTTTTTGAATAAAACCATAACCAAACCAAATACTATCGGTTTTCAAAAATCTAAAACCAAACCCAAATAAAATCGGTTTTATTTTATCGATTTGGTTTGGTTTTGCGATTTGAATCGGTTTTTATCCAAACCATGAACACCTCTATAGCCAATTATGTCGTGTGGAAATATATTTACTTAAAGGTTTAATGGTTAAATAAGTACTTGGAGGAAATAAAATAATAGGCGAGAGATACAATTTACAAATTTTAATTTTCAATTCTTAATGTGATGTCATTCTTCACATTAACTTTTTAGTCATTGCTTTAATTAATCTTTTTATACTATAACTCAATAGTATAATATACGAAAACCAACTCGAATTTTAAACTTTGCATTCAGACAAAGACAATAATATAAAATAGGGATATGTGAAACATTCTTACTCTTTCACTAAATACAAATTGATATCATGGGACCCCAATGTTATTCGTCAAAAGGAGACAAAATATTAGACAAGTTATAACATTCAACCCATTATATTTCTTATTGTCAGACGTCTTTTTAAGACAAAATCTTCAACAAGTGATGATAAAAAAAATCATTCAATGTATATAAGCAGACAATTAGTTTAATTATTGCATTGACGGATCATTTTGTCAACAAAATACAACCTAGCTAGTGGTCGTAGATATGTAGATATATTCATTATCCACAAATATTGCACTTTTTTCAACGTATGTAGGGACAACAAGATATTGAATTATGCTAGTAAATATTACTTTATGGACTTAAATTATGGTCAAGGTTAAAAAACTGCGTCTCCACAACTACACCTCCAAACTTGGGGATAATACTGCCCATTATTTTGTTCATCTTCTTCGATTAATACTTGAATGGGCATACATGGCATGCATTGGTAGCATTTTGAGTGACATGCCATTGGAATTGATCCATCATCTCTTCATTTCTTGTCCACTTGTGCAAAACCTAATTACGTACTCCAAGATTCTTCATTTTGTCAACAAACGAATCTATGGTTTAGAGTTAGTGGGTTCAGAATAAGTAATATTTAATTATTTTTATCTATGTATATTTAGTTCAAGTAAAAAACAACGAGTTCAGTCAAAATCACATAACATGTTATAAATTCACCTCTGAGTTCTGATACATTCAATAAGAAAAACATATAGAAAAAGAAGTAGAAATGGAAGATGTTGAGAAAACTTTTAACTTACTGGTGGCAATGCAGGAGGAAATGGAGATAGTTTACGAGAATGAAGCATTAATTGAGAAGTGGAGATTATAATGAGAACAAGGGTAAGGACCAAAAATAACTTCTTTGGTTGAGTTTTAAATTCCATCATAAATTCTGAAAATTGTTTCATTGGCATTGGCCAAGTACATAGATATTTAATTGAATTTAGCAAAAGTGTGCAACTAATTGGCTGGGAGTTGTTAGCATATTACTTTTTGAGGAGAAATAGTCAGACCAATATGT